GCAGACACAGTCTGTCAGTTTAAATCTAGATTAAAGACCCATCTCTTTGACCTGGCTTACACATAACACACTAACACATTTCTAATATTCAAATCCGGTAAAGGATTGTCAGGCTGCATTAATTAGGTCAACCGGAACCGAGAACACTTCCCATAACACCCGATGTACTTGCTACATCGTTAGAAGAATGGCATCTACACTAATATTAGTCTGTTTCTCTCTTATTCCGAGGTCACCGTAGCCACCAAATCCAGTCTGTATCCAGATCAGATGGTCACTGCAGTCACCCGGATCCAGTACGTATCCAGCCCAGATGGCTGCAGTCACCCGGATCTAGTACGTATCCAGATCAGAAGGTGGATCAGCACCTTAAGATGACCTCGACTGCCCTGAAATGTCAGCGGAGACCAGAACATCTAGATGTTTCGAGAATAAATAATTTTGAAAATACTGGTATGATACAAGTGCATGAATTTGTGTGTCTAACTGGCTGAGAAGCGTGTTGTTGTTGTTGTAGTACAGGTTTTCGTGATAATATGTAATGTTATCAGATTATCTTGTCTATGAGTTTTTCCCCCAGAAGTTTCTGATGTCACATACTGTAGCTATTTTTCATTCTTCTGAGTTGCTTTACAGGTTTCATAAGCATTGAAATACTTTCACTCATTAAAGACTGTTCCAGAGTCAGCCAGCATAAAAAAATCCTTTAACATTTTCCAATGCATTGCTTATGGTCTGCACATGATAGTGTTTATTTTAAATATGCATAGTAATTGTTTAATCTAAGTGAAGTAGCGAGTTATGATCTGAGAATGGCTTATTTTAAGGTCATCATTTTAATAAAAATGAAATTCAATTGAAATTAAACTGTTGCTTGTTTTATCCCTTTTCTGAAGAATCAATTATAGCATAGCATTTCAGCATACTTTAGACTTTGAAAACCTACTGTATTTGCGTATTTTAAATACATGTCCTTACTAAATGGAAGAGTTGTGGTAATAAATATTCCATTAACCAAAATTTTAAAAACAACATAATTCTACAGTGATGGGCTCTGAAGTAAACACATTAAGGTACATACAGATCCAGAACTGATATGAAATCCATTGTAGCTTAGATCTAGTTAGAATTTTCAGAATAGGATTATATAAAATATTACTTTCATTACTACTCATTAAGTAGCATCATTAGCTTCATTTGAGTCCTTGACTTGAGCTGAAGGCAAGATTCAGACCCGTCTGAATCAGTTATCTTGGCATGAGTCATTACGGTCAGTTAAACCGTTGAACTAGAAGCGACACTGCAACCAGGAACGAAGCGGTCAACACACTGATCCTGCTGCTGACTTCACCTGATGAATATGCTGCATTACAAAGAGAAGAAAACAGACAGAAATTATAATTTGCTGACCTTTTGGGATTTTGCCTATAGCTCAAGTAATATAACGGAGTACAGCTGCAACACTTCAAGTTTGAACTCTTAAAATCTACATGCACGTTCGCATCTAGCGTTCTCTCTCTGCATGTTCTATTTGGAAAAAAAAGTAGCCACAAATGTTACACTACATCTGGATTGTCATCACAGTGAATCACTCACCTGTTCCATTTATTATAATTGAAGAAGTGAAGATCTGGAAGGGTAGCGTGTTGTTTCTGGCTGCTCGAACTACAGTGTTCACTATCTGGGTGCTATTGGGTAGAACGGCGTCCGCTCCGAATACAACATCCATGCTGTTTTGGAGCGAGGGCACACTCCTTAATTTTACACCGGCATCACGGGAGAGAGTTTGGAATCAAGATTCATTCATGAAAACTGACAAAAACTGTATAGGTTGTGTTTGGGCTTGTTGGAGTCTGTGTTGTGGTTGTAAGTTGAACTGTTGTATGTGGGGTTAAAGTTGCAATTGTAGGAGAGTTGTAACCAGGGTTGTAGATTGAGCTGTACTTATTGTAGGTAGGGATGTTGTTGCTGTCTGTGTTGTGGTGCTTTGTTAGGATGTAGTTGATTGTTCTGTTGTAGATGTTAAAACAGTTGTGGTTGTTGGTTCAGCCGTAGATGTTAAAACAGTTGTGGTTGTTGGTTCAGCCGTAGATGTTAAAACAGTTGTGGTTGTTGGTTCAGCCGTAGATGTTAAAACAGTTGTGGTTGTTGGTTCAGCCGTAGATGTTAAAACAGTTGTGGTTGTTGGTTCAGCCGTAGATGTAAATTGTGTTGTTGTTTCTGTAGGAGGGGCTGTAGTTGTAAGCTGAGCTGTAGTTGTAGGTGAGTTTGTTGATTCAGTTGTTGGTGTCGTTTCAGTAGAACAGGCAGTAGTTGTAAGTGTATTTGCAGTTGTAGATTCAGCTGGCGTTATTGATGCTGGTGTTGTTGATCCTAGTGTGTTTCATGTTAGTGTTGTTAATTCTGATATCGATTCTGTTGTTGATGCTGATGTTGTTTAGGCAGTGGGGCTACAAAACACTGTTGCTAAAAAAATCAAAGTAACATTCATTTTAGAGCAATTTTCACATGTAAGTAATAAGAGAAATAAAGAATTTGGATGATCAGGAATTTACAGACCTAAACTTAAAACTGCAATTATCAGTGTTTTTCTACTCATCTTGGTAGCTGTCAAATAGACCACCTATAAACATATAATACATAACATTAGCAAATATGTAAGAAATGGCATCAGGTTTGGCATGTTAGTGGGGCAAAATTAATAATAAAAAGACCCTCTTTCCAGATTATTCTTTTCATAAAAGTTTTTTTTTTCCATACTGTATATCAAAGATGGTTTGTCATTTTTTGCACAGTCCACATTAATGAAGATAACAGTAGTTATCCTATAACAAAAACAGGGAAGAATTTCATTACCATTGGCAAGTTTAAGTTCAGTACGATGTTTTTTTTTTAATGTTTTTAAATGTATCTTATGCTCATAAAGACAGCATTTATTTAAAAACACAATAAAACAATATTATTGTGATATTATTATAATTTAAAACAGCTGTTTTCTGTGTGAATATATGTTAAACTGTAATGTATTTCTGTGATGCGCAGCTGCATTTTCAGCATCATTACTCCAGTCTTCAGTGTCACATGATCTTCAGAAATCATTCTAATATGCTGATTTACTGCTCGATAAACATTTCTGATTATTAGCAATGTTGAAAACAGTTGTGCTGCACAATATTTTAGTGGAAATAGTCACGTTTCATAAATTGAATGCATCCTTACTGAATAAAAGTATTAATTTCTTTAAAAATATAAATCAATTTCATTAGAAATTGCATTTTTCCAACATCAGGGGTTTATATGTGATCATAAAACTCCATATTCAATAAAATTAAATATGCTCATATTTAAGTATACATCTTAAGATGTAAAATATTCTTAGACTTCATCATGCTTTTGTTGTGGTTCATAGCTATTAATTTTTCATTTATTATTGTACCCTATTGCATTTATATATTTTATCTTTAACGTCTGAGGAAATTTACAAAGATCACTCCAACTGCATCTTGAACTTTAAACAATTTTAAGATATTTTTACTTAATCACTTATTCTTGCTGTTGAAGTGTCAGCCGTTTATTACAATGTGTTTGGAGTATAAGGTCTGCTTTTGTTTAATCCTTATATAATACATTTATTTGTATATTTATTTATACAATTGTTTCAAAGCAGTTCTACAGAAGACAGTCATTATTCAGCACATTTTAGTTTAGTGTTATAATGCTTAGTTAAATCATAAATTATTACAAATAATCTCAATTAAGAAAAAAGACGGTAACACTTTATTGTAAGGTGTCCTTGTTACACATGTTACATGTACTTACTATTATAATAACAATAAATTCTGCAAAATTACATGCAAGTAACCCCAAGCCAAACCTTAATCCTAACCCTAACCATATAGTAAGTACATGTAGTTTTTGTATAATTACACTGTAACAAGGACACCTTCAAATAAAGTGTAACAAAAAGATTCTAGATGGTATAAAAAACAAACATATAAAGCATCTTAAAACACAGTGTACCAAAGTGCTGTACAATTACATAAAACACAATAAAATACAAAGAGAGAGAAAATAAAAATACAGCAAGAGCAAAATAAAATACAATAAAATAAACGGACCCACTTTATATTAAGTGGCCATAACAACTATGTACTTACATTTAAATTAATAATTTGGTACAATGCACTTATTGTGTACATACATGTTTTTACATTGCACTTATATTTTAAAAATACCTGCATGTAATTACATCTGTAATTAATTTCTGTAATTACATTTATAATTACACAGTTGACCCATCCTTTACACCTTAACCCACCCTTAAACCTACCCATACCACCAAACCTGTCCCTAACCTACCCGTATCCCACCTCAATAGCAGCAAAAGTGTTTTGCAATACAATATGAACACAGTAAGTACATTGTACTTATTTTTTGATGTAAGTACATAGTAGTTAAGGCCACTTAGTATAAAGTGGGGCCAAATAAACTAATATAAATGGTTATGAGTATAAATCAGAAAGTATGGCTATAGTAATACTTAAACAAGTCAAAATCACCCAATCCATTTTATACCCAAGTGCAATTTCTTACACAAAGGTGAAGTTGCAAGTCCCTTGATAAAAGCATGTAAACTCATGCTGTCCTGAAAGTGCATGTTTTTATTAGCTCTGTTTGGAGTCACGACACAACGCATAGCTGTCACTCAAGTGGTGTTGCATTGTTAATGCATTCAATTTTTAACCAAACTAGATATACATATGCAACAATACATTCCTCCCTAAACATGCAGTCTTAAGAAATATTCAGCAGATGATTTTATAGCAATTTGTCGTAGGAGCCAACAATATTCATAAAACACAATTTCAAAATGAAAGTACACAATGAGTATGTAAGCGACAAAAGAGCTGAAAAAGTACAAAGAGCAAAAGGTTTTGCATGTTATTGTTTATATGCATGTATGATTTTCGTTGAGTGTAAACATTGCATAATTTAAACCTGTAACACTACAGCGAATAGAATACAAACTAACATATAAAACCTGTTGGAGCCATTTCTTTTTCTATTTTCATATTTTGGACTGAATGGACTGATTTACTAATTTGAATATAATTAAGTTTATGTTTGATCATTATTATTTGTGTTTGAGTATTTGGATTGAATGTTATGAAATTTTCAATTGAGACTCTTATTACATTATTGCAATTGTGTATTTAGTGTAGGTAAGGAAGTAGGTGGGGTGAGTAGGGGGAAGCGGATGCGATTTTCAGACCGTGTGTTCATGTGGCTGTGTGTGCTAATGTTTAGCGGTGAAGATATGGTTCAACTGTTGATCTTATGGATTGTTGTTTTGCGAAAATAAATGATTAAGAAGCTATGCTACAGACTCACGCGTCAATTGTTTGCCCCTACCTGGATTGTTGAAATGAAAGTTAGTCTTCATAAAACATTACACCTGTTCTTCCATCTCATTTGTTTTGGTTTCAATCTTTTTTTTTGTTTGTTGGCTTGTTTTAAAGCATGTAGTCATACAGTATGATCTGCTTGACGTTGAAATAATTGACATTGCCTTCCTGTCTGTTAAGTAACCACAAAAACATTTCGGCTTCTACATTCCTTATATTCCCAATCTCTCTCCATTAAGATGCATTTAGCTGGAAGTTTCTCTTATTGACTCTTTCACAATTGTCACGTACACAAGGAGCCAAATATATGCTCTCTGAATCACACACTTTGCTTTTAAGTCATTTTATGTGACCGTTTCATGGTCTTAAAACTGTGTTCATGACTGTGACTTGATTAACCAGTGGGTGATTGAAGGTGATTGTTTTAAACACAGGTACTTTGGGAATGTTGAAGACAAAAACAATGGTGCTTTTCACTGAGTTTGCAGAATCATCTGCGTTTCCGTCTCTGCTGGTGTTGCTTGATAATGGTGGGTTTGTTAGACCTGCTGGTGTTGAAGATATGCTGTTTGACCAAGTGTCTGTGATTGTAGTGCCTTCTGAATCAGACCTCTTTAGCGCTGTTTGAATTGATATGCCCACAGTTGAGCCTTTGTGTTCCTCGGCTAATGGAGTGGTGACAGGTTTAGGGTCATTGCTTGTGGCAGTGAGAGGAGATGCTGGAGAAAATGGGTTTAAGGAGGCGTTTGTGTTCGTTTTCAGATTTTCTTGAGTGGTCAGATACATTGAGGGCGTGTTCATAGATGTGGGCTTTGAATCAGGTGTCATTGCTTGTCTTGAAACTGTTCCCTGTAAAGAAAAGACAAAAGGAAAGTGGTTAAATGAGAGACCCACGCTGTAAAAAAAATAATTCGTTTTTACAGTAGAAGGCTTTAAACAGTTATCACCTCTTAACTGGTTAACGATAAACTACCTTAGCACATACCATAGTGTGAAAAATTGTATATGATTTTATAATTTTATTATAAAATACTATCAATTTTATGGTTTTGGCCATCAAAAGGAATTAAAAATCATTAAAAGGACAGAAGTCCCTGCATAACTATGATAATATGATGATATTGATATGATATGATAATATTTTATTTGAATAGTTTTGTTTCTTTTACATTTTTGTTATAAATAAACTGACTTTAACTACTTGAGCTACTTGAACTAGAAAAATGTGTTTAAATATTGACTGGTTTTCTTCTATTAAGAGAATTAAGAGATTTAAATGTTCAGGTTTGGTCTACGAAGTTATTTAACTGTTGGCTGTTAGGGTTAGGTTAACGAAAGAGTTAATGATGAATTAATAAAAATATGGTTGGTTGTCGCAGGTGAAATTCTGGAAAAGTCTGATGCACAGTCAAATGCACGAGCATTCAGAAGTACAGTATGACTAGTGGTTTGTTTGTGCTATGTGTACATGTTGTGTAGAATATGCTGCTAACCGGCGTTAGCGTTGTTGTAGATGTTGATGCTGTGAAAGCAGTTACAGGTGTTTGCGAGTGCTCTGGGTTGGGGATTTTAGGTGTAGCTGTAACTTGCGTCGCTATGACAGGGCTCGAGGTCTCAACAAGTGTTGTTGAGTCTGAGGAAGTAACCAGACTTGGATTTAGAGTTGCGTCAGTTGTTGCGGACTGAGATGATTGCGATTCCATCACAGGTGTCAGAGTTTCTTGACCGTCAGTTAGCAGACTTTCTGATTGAGATGTTGTTTCATTTAAGGTTATCAGTGTGCTATTGAAGTCATCTGTCAATGTAAACTCATTCCATGTTGTGTTATCAGAAGAGGACCAAAACACATCAGTTAAATGTTCGGTGTTATTTTCTGTGGCTGATGCAGTGTCGTCGACGGCTGAAATTGCATTTGTAGTCGATTCCACAGGTGTTTTGATAGTCGATGCTATTTCAGTATCAGTTGTGTCATCCTGTGGGTCAGTTGTTAATGATTCCTCCGTCGGCTCTGTTGCACTTTGGGAAGTTTGCTTTGTATTTGTAGCTGACGTTGAGGTTGTAAATGATGGCTCTGCCGTGATGGACGTAGAATCCAAATCATCTGATGTGATGGAGGCTTGAGTGTGGTCTGGTGACTGTTGTGATGTGTTCGCAGTGGAGTGTGATGTTCCAGAAGATGCGTCAGAGGACAGAAATGAAGATCCTGCAGTCATTGTCCTTGTGGATTCAGAAAATGCCGTCTGATCTGTGACACTTCTGCTGGAGGAAGTTGAGGTTGTAACAGAAGGCTCTGTAATCTTTGCATTAGTTGGTGTGATTTGCGACGATGTAGACTGAAGTAGTGCAGAGGCAGCAGCAATTGTTTGAGACATCTGTGTTTGCAGGTGGCTGAAAGACGTAGTATCTAATTCATTTGTAGATTGGTAGATTGATGGTGAGTCAGAAGTGTCACTGAGAGAAGTGTTCTTCAGTTGTGTAGTGGCTTGAATGGCGGAGTAAGACTCGGTTGTGCTTCTCGTTGCGAAGTGATTTGGTTCTGAGCTGGTTGTGAAGATGGATGAACTCGAGTCTGGAGTTGGTGTAGGGGCAATCGTTGTTGCTGTCGATTCATTTGATGTGATGGAGACTTGAGTATGGTCTGATGACTCAAGCTGTTGTGTTGTCGTCGTAGCGGAGCGTGATGTTCCAGAGGACGCAACAGGGGATGGAAATGAAGAGCCTGTAGTTGTTGTTGTATGTGCAATCATTGTTGTTGTTGATTCAGAAAATTCCGTCTGTTTTATGACACTTCTTTCAATTGTTGGCTCAGGTTTTTGGGTACCATTTAATGCTCCAGCAGTCCAAGAAATAGATATATTGCTGTTTGAGGTTTGCTCTGCATCATTCTGTGTATTGGAAACAGTGGTGGTAATTGAATCATTGTTTGCATGACTCGGAGTCAATGTCATTGATGTGTCCGTGCTAGTTGTTGTAGTGCTTTCTGTTGAGCTGATCCCATGTGAAGTGGCATTGGTTAAGGGCTCCATTGTTTGAGTTGCAGTGCTTTGGTAGTTTATTGGTGAGACAGAAGTGTTCATTGGTTGTGTAGTGGCTTGAATGGTGGAGTAAGTCTCGGTTGTACTTCTGATAGTGAGGTGGTTTGGTTCTGAGCTTGTTGTGAAGATGGATGAACTCGAGTCGGGAGTTGTTGTAGGGGAGATCGCTGTAATTGTTGATTCAGAAAATGCCGTCTGCTCTCTGTTGGTTGAGGTTTCAGTTGTTGGCTCAGGTTTTTGGGTACCAGTTAATGTTCCAGTGGTCCAAGAATTGGATATGTGTGAGGTTTGGTCGGGTTCATTTTCATCCTCATGACTCGGAGTCAGTGTAGGTGTCTCGGATGTCGTTGATGTGTCCATGCTAGTTGTTTTAGCGCTTCCTGAAGAACTGCTCCCATTGGTTAAGGGCTCCATTGTTTGAGATGCAGTGCTTTGAGAAACAGTCATGTAAAGGTTTGGAGAAGAACTGGTAGTAAAATTAGAGTCGGTTTGGCAGCAGTCCGGAGGAAAGTAGGAGTTCAAGATTCCTGCAAATAAAAACAGCAAATACTTTGTGATAGACAGACGGTTTTTCTTTCTCTTGAAGGTACTGTGAGTATTGTAAGTGATAGAGTGAAAAACGTATTATCTGTTATTAAAATACAGTATGAAATTTACACTGCCCGAAAGTACCAGTGGAAATCTTGGACACGATTGACTGAATTTATGTTTCGATTTGATCTAAAAGCTTCTGCTTATTAGTTTTGTAAATTGTGGCGAAATGTCTTTACAACAGTGATTCCTTTTGTTCCTCTCTCGTAAATCGCTACGGATAAACGTGTCAACTAAATGCGTAAATGTAAAATTGTTGTTACTGTTTTTATTTTAATGCATGCATTAGAGCAGATGAAGAAAGCTCAGTTTTGTCACATTTTGCTCATTAAATCATTCCCATACTTCCATTTGTGTAATTTCGTATTTTTCATTATTTAAAAAAAATGGTAACACTTTAGATTAGGGAGCACTATTGACTAGTTAGAATGCATATCGCTAGCGTATTGACTGTTTATTAGTACTTGTATTAATGCTTTGTTCTGCATGACCATATTCTAGATCTCTTAACCCTAACCTGTACACAAATACGACAACAACCACCTTACTATCAAGAAGCAGTCATTTAGGAGTTTATTGAGGGAAAACTTAATTAGTTAATAGTCAGTATGTGTTCTCTAATCTAAAGCGTTAACATTATTATCAAAACTGGCATATGGATTGGAATATTGTAGAGTCCTTTTGACCAGCGGGTGTGTAAGCGCGTCGTCCTCCTGCGTCATCACGTCTCGATCACAACTCACCCCAGAAGAGCAGGAATGCTGCATTACGCCACATGGTATCCTGCAAGCTCACCGAATCTGAAAAGCAAATATTTCACCATGTCAGCAGGTGTTTTGTCATATTTTGGTTCTAATCGCTCCACAGGTTCAGGTGCTGACATCTCTGCATGCGTTTAATCTTGTTTGTAAAACTAGAGTCTCATTCTGCCCTAGGGCTGGAATTTGGCCTGCTGATAGCGTCGTTCATTTGCACACGCTGATGTTTTTGCAAGTAAAGCAGTTATGCAAATCAGATTAATCTTTTGATTAGGGCTGGACAAGTTAACGCGTTATCATCGCGTATTAACATATTAATTGATTAACGCCGACAATTATTGTATCGCACATTAACGCAGTTTTTTATTATTATGAAAGTCCGTTGCTCACTGGCTCTGAATACACATACAGACAAACCATGGGTCACAGGAGGGTGGGATGTTGATCAGTACTGGCTTGGCATGGGCGTCATCACGCGTCTCAACCAATGACAGCATTTGGGGAGGGCCTAAGACTGCAGCAGCACTCACATGAAGCGCTCACGATTCAATTATTTAGGCTAAGCATCAACATTCACAAACCACTGTTCACTGTTATTTTTAACAGAAAAGAATGCAATGTGCTCGTAATCAGGACTTCATAAGTGGGAAATAGGGAGTTTCCGATAGCTTGTGAAGACAGCAGAGAAGCGCTCTCGGTCAGCACAGTGCAGTGCATCGTTTTGTTAACTTTGTGGTTTATTATTTTGAGTCGTTTGGGGCGCGGTAACTGGCCATCGGGAGCACCGGGAGAATTCCTGGTGGCCTGGCGGCTGATTTGGCCCGCTGCCCTGTTTTTTTTTTGTTATTATTAATATTTTATATTTATGCCTTCTCAATGTACCAAAGCGATAATTTCCTATTTTTTCATTCGATAATCAATCATAAATCAGTTAGTCTTGACTGGCAGAGCTGTGCTAATCAGCTCACGTGTGTTCCGCGCCTCAGTCAAACGGTTCCGAACAGAACCGATGCGCGGGACTCGATGAAAGACGAGAAAGCGGTCAGAAGAAGCTGTGAAATGCAGCAACATCACTGACCTGTTCAGGGCTTCAAGTGCAGGTCAGCTTCATCTGTAAATACGCTAGATAGTTTTGTCTTTATTAACCTAGTTGAGTATTAAACTGCTAGTATCTGTTAGGCTATCAGTAGCACCCCATTATTATCATCATTCAGAATGCTGTGCTAAACGACATCAATGTCGATTGTAAAGCAGAGACAGATATTCACATGGACTTATTGTACAGGGAGGGACGGAGCTAGAGACAGCAACACAGACATAATATGAGTCACAGCCTAATAATTCAATAGTGTGTTCAGTATTAGAATGCTTCAACAAATATATTGTACTAATTTTGACATTTAGGCACTTTAGAAATTGTGTTTCAATACACTAACAGTCAAAAGGTTTTGATCAGTACGATTTTTAATGTTTTTGTTTTTTAAAAGAAGTCTCTTCTGCTCACCACGCCTGCATTTATTTGATCCAAAATACAGCAAAAACAGAAATATTGTGAAATATTATTATAATGTAAAACAGCTGTTTTCTATGTGAATATCTGTTAAACTGTAATGTATTTCTGTGATGCGCAGCTGTATTTTCAGCATCATTACTCCAGTCTTCAGTGTCACATGACCTTCAGAAATCATTCTAATATGCTGATTTGCTGCTCAACAAACATTTCTGATTATTATTATTATTATTATTATTATGTTTAAAACAGCTGAGTGTTTTTTCAGGTTTCTTTGATGAATAGAAAGTTCAGAAGAACAGCATTTACCTGAAATAGAAGTCTTTTGTAACATTATAAATGTCTTTATCATCACTTTTGATCAATTTAAAGCATCTTTGCTGAATAAAAGTATTAATTCAAAAAATTGTTTACTACGGTACTTTTGAACGGCAGTATATCAGATGTTTTTTGTTTTTTACTTATGATGAGCAAATAAGTATAAAATATTACATTATTTCCACATATTATTGCCACATATAGTGGAGATTGCAAGTAATGATCAGACAAAGAGTCATTTTATCTTTTATATAACACATTTTTATACTTCTGGGAGAACATGTAAAGTATTAAAAGTAAATAAGGTCTGAGTTCACAACCAAAGTGCACATTAATCACCATAATGGTGACAAACTATTTACAGTGTTATGCCCTAGCTTGATGTTTTACAGTAATTTGTTGTGTTAATCACATAAAAGGACTGATCTGAACTGATATCACTTAAAAAAAAATGTAAAAAAAAATATTGCTGATAAATCTTGTATTTTTGACTAGTGCTTGGCATTTGACATTTCTTGAATTGTCTGTTTCTGTAGGGAATGGTATCTCAATGGAAACTACTTGGTGGTGCTTGTGTCTCTCTCTGTCATCCTGCCTTTGGCTCTAATGAAGCAGTTGGGTGAGTCGATCATTTCTACTTCAGTCATCTCATTTCATGAAAGTGGGTTTCTGTGTACGTTTGACCCAGTTGAATGGACCGTTCATATTACAGAGCATCGGTTCAAGCACTTTAAAAGCACATTCTGTCCTCATATCAAGCAATAAGCTAAACCAATTCAGCACACCTGTTTATCTGACAGCAACAGTCCGTTTTAACCGCACACACTTCTGTTTTTGTTGTTTTGACGTGTTTATAGTAATTGAATCAAGTTGACCTTGTCAGTATTTGTGTCTGGTAAGCTCTGTCAGCACAGATCAGCTCCTGAGATGAGTGATAACTCACTGCGCTTTTCTTAGCACATGCATTTATAGTTGCAGGGATTCAGGCTTGAATGCATGTATGCGGCGGCATGTCGATTGACAATGTCTTTATCATCACTTTTGATCAATTTAAAGCATCTTTGCTACATAAAAGTATGAATTTCTATAATCCCAATGACTCCAAACTTTTGGTATATTGCATGTATAATGTCACAAAAGCTTTTTATTTCAGATAAATGCTGGTCTTTGGATCTTTCTATTCATCAAAAAATCCTGATGTACTCAACTGTTTTAAATATTGATAATAATTTTTAATAAATTTACCTTGACACAGACTTGGACAGAAAAGGCAAAAATATAATGTAGGGCTGTACAATTAATCACATCACGCTGGACTGGAGTCTGTGAATATTAAAGCACAAAAGACTGCTTTTTAAACCATTAGGTTTAACCTGTAAAACTCATGGCAGAAATATAACTAGTGTACAATAGTATGTACTTATCAAAGTAATAGTAACAATAATAATACATTTTAACATTATTTTTAAAGACTTTTACTTGATATTATGCAATTGTTTATCCAATTTAATTATTATAATTTAAATGATTTTCAAATTTAAACTGTAAGCCACTGTCAAAATAAAAAATAAAAACGAATTGTTACAGTTTAATTTGATTACTTTTTAAAAGATACATTTTTTAAGTTTTTTTGTGCATTCATTTGATTACCAATCAGAATCCAGATTTCTTTTTTCTAAATTGACAACAGAAAAAAACACATTTCACTATTTTAATAAATTAATAACGTTTTATTAAGTCAATTGATTAGACATGCGTTTTGGTTGTTTATTTAATCAAACCATTAAAAATGGAACAAAGCAGAAAAATTAAAATGCAAAAATCACAATTTGGGCAAAAAATGAAACTGATTTCACAGAGCCCTACCAAAATAAGCTCAAAGAGGACTTCATCAAGGTTAATGTATAAAATAAAGACATCTGGTTTTAGTTACACAACACCTTCATATTCAGCACAAACACAGAATATCCAGCTGACACTCACACTTTTACTGATAAAACAAGACACCGGTGTTATTATGTCGTACAATGTATTTTCCATCTCAAACACAAACGTGTAATTCTGTAATGAGATTATAGCAATATCAGTGTGAAATGACAGCAGTTAGCTTTAGCTTTAGCAATCAGGAAGAGGAAATAGAGCAGACAGAAATCACATTCTTCAAATACTCCTTTACTCACCCCATCAGATGAAAACCTGATCAAAGTGATGTGAATTATTCAGAGATCATGGAGTAAAGATGGTTTACCACAACAACAACAACAACAAAAGACATTTTTAAACCTTTTGGATTTCTAGAAATGAGCACAGCTTGTTTAGCGGTGAGAGAAACACGGCGATGAACCTGTCGGGTGACAATCTTCCTGTTTTGGAAAGCTAGTTTAGACGGTTCACAACAGCGCACAGCTTTCTGTTGTTTGCTTATTGCTTTGATGTGTACTGTATGATCTAAGATACATAAATACTTAATTATGCATCATTTAATTGCTATATTCAGTGCATAAAGTTAAAATGCACTATATCCTATATATATAAAATGCAGAAATGAAAAATATGGTGTTATATTATATATGTGCAATATAAATTGTACATTATATGAATGCATATTTATACGGTTTGCACATATCTTTGCTGCTTAATATTATGTTATGCATAAATGTTATGCTGTCTAGTTATTATTATCTCTTCAAATATCAATCACTGTATAAGTGATTACAAGTTGTAAATACAAAATTGTCGGAGTATGTTTTACAAGAAAATATGATAGCACTTAAAGCCTTTATATACAATATAATGCATCTCATAAGTATTTGTAATGCATTAATTATGCCTTGTAATGCACTTTATAATGTATAGTGTGATCTCATGAATAATTGTAACCAAGTTCATTAAGTATTATATTCATTGTTACATTAATTGTTAGAAAGTAAAATGTGAGAAACAAACATTTAAATATTATAATGCATTTTAACTTTGGTTACCGTTATTTATGAACAATATAATGCAAAACAACATGTATAATAAATACCTTTACACTGTAAAAAAATTCCGTAGCATTTACGGTAAAAAAACGGCAGCTTGCCGGAATTTTACCGTAAAAATATGGTAGCAACGTTTTCGGTTTTACGGTTTTAACTTAAATTTACAGTTAAATACCGTAATTTCATTAACTGATATAATGTTAATATACCAACCTATTGAAGTACTGAAATCTGTTTTGTATCTTTGTAATACACTGATAACCACCAAAAGCAGGAGGTGATGAGAAAGTCACATGATGAACCAACGCCCATCGCAAGCAGCTTTTAGATAATAACACATATAGAAGGTGCACAAACACTAAACACCATCACGGTAACACACGTGAAACTGAAATAATGCAATAAACATTCATTTAACAACATTAGGTGTGACACACAACCCTAATATACAAAACTGATAAGAAACAACATGTATAATAAATACCTTTATAACACATCATAAATAAAGGCTTTAAGTAAAATCTTGCTGAAAATACTCCGTTTTTCTACTTCTAAATTTCGTGTTTAATTCATTGTTACTTGCCATTTATTAGCAATTTCTGAGTGATTTTTTTTAAGTAAATCCTACACCGATTTTTCAGTGTATGTAAATGAAGACAGATCTTGTGTATGTAAACTTAGCCAATAAGTGCAAATACTTCAAGACGTCATTTGAATATTTCCGAAAGCTTTCATTTTCAGTCACTGCAGGGTGTGTTCAGGAAATCAGCATTCACACGATTCTCTCGTACTCCACACAGAAACGCAAACATTTCCTCATAGTGATAACTGGATCGAGATAAAGATCGTTCACTGCAGGAAAATAACCTGCGTTTGCACTCTGGTAAACCCTGGCATTGAGCTGTCTGGCTTTGCTCAGGGAAATTTATTGATAAAATCGGTTTTATTTACACCTGCTAAACACAATAAAAGTCATCCGAGGACATTCGCTGCTGCTGCTGCTGCTGTTGATGTCCAAACTAACTGAATAAATGTAACTTGTAACAAATGTAACAAATGTATTTGAAAGCCCATTCCCGTCACTGATCTAAAAATGTAAAAAAAAAAAGCAATTGTGAGTTTTCAACTCGTGAGTTAAATCGAAATTGTGCATCTTTATTTGCATCTTTTCTCTTGTAATTCTGAATTGTCTTCTCAGAATCGTGAGATATAAACTTGAAATCGCAAGTCATAAAGTCCAATCCTGAGGAAAAAAGTCCAAATTGAGATTTTAGATCTTGCAATTCTGACTATAACACGCAGTTATGACTTTATAACTTGCAATTGTGAGTTTATAGCAGTTCTGAGAAAGAAATAAAAAAGTCGCATTTTTATTATATATATATATTTGTTTATATATTATATTATATTATTATATTTTTTTAATTCAGTGGCGCAAACAAGCTTTCATAGATGTATGCCGTTTCTAAGCAGTCTGAATAAATGTATTTTAAAAGTATGATTATTTAAATCAAATCAAATAAATGCAAATAGTAAGTGTTTCATTGATGTATGACAAATATGCATCACATTAAGTTTATTAGTTTATGTTAAAAAACTGTGTAATCCAAAGGGTGGTAAATCTGACATGAAATTCATATGCATCAATCTTAAATGTATGCTTATATATATATTGAGGCTATGCTGGGTGCTGGAGCGGTCTGATGTTCCTGTTGGTTCAGTTTAATCTGCTGGTAAACAGGTGTGTGGTTTTGAACTCAGGTTTTTTACATGTGAAAGTTGAAGTGGCAATTATCTGCCATTCATGTTAACAAGTGTTGAAGAATTCCTGCAATCTAACCATCAATGCAAGCAGAACTACGCCCTTAAACATGCTACCAGTTCAAGCCAGCAACTCCTCCGAAGCATCCAGAATTACAGTGAATCCAAAAATATATATTCAGATCACAATAAACAGAAGAATTCGTCCAAAAATGAACATTTACTCCCTCCTCATGTCATTCCAAAACTTTTCTCTTTACTACTGAGCACAAAGACGTTTGGTGAATGTTGTCAGCAGTTTTGGTTACCTTTGGCTTTCATTCAAAAAAAGCACCTTTTCTTCTTTTTTGTTCCACAGAAGAAAGAGGTTTTGGAATGAACAAGGGTGTGTGCAGACGATGACAGAATAATCATTCAGAGTCACGAGTGGTTTGGAAACGGACGGATAGATTTATGCTTATAAATAATTTAGTGAAAATTTGAACATTTTTACTGAGAAATTGCTAGAGGTTTTCACAAATAATTACAAGCAACACATTTAATTAAACGTGAAAGTAGAAAGACTGAAATAGTGTTTTCTTGTAAAACATGCTTCAGTGATCTTTATTTACACCTGTGTGTGTGTGTGTGTGTGTGTGTGTGTGAGTGTGTGAGTGTGTGTGTGTGTGTGTGTGTGAGTGTGAGTGTGTGTGTGTGTGTGTGTGTGTGTGTGTGTGAACCCACAAAGACATTTCACATGCACATCATTTTTTCTGGTAGTGTAATGACAGCTTACTGTAGATCTCAAACACTTCACCTGAGGGTAAAAGACATTTCAAGCACCTGTAATTTGGCACACAGAGGGCAGAGAGTGAATAGACACTTAAGAGGTTCTTAAGATGAATCACCTTTCTTGACAAATATTTGCATATCAGTTTTGGAAACAAAGACTCTGTAAAGATGAGGAGTTTAGTTGTCCCAGTGTTTATTAGCAGCTTGAATCTGTCTGGACAATATGTCAAATATTTCTGGCTCTTTATTCTTCTATTAGTCTCCTTTCATGCAGAGGAGAACGGATAATAAAGCAGCTTGTCCTGAGCTCTGGAGGATAAGTGTGCTCACGGCTCACGCATTTAAAACAAAACGTAACAAAAGTGATTTGTGAAATTCTAGAGACAATTCTCGTTCTCTGAGGCTCGACACTTGACGTCATTGATGCTTTCCGAACAATAAGTGTTTTAAAATCTCCCTGTTGTATTGACAAGCATGCACGGCATTACGAGGACAACATTTGTGAAGATAAAAGCAAATTTTTTTGTCTGCGTTTTGTCTTTGTCTTATATTGTAAGTTTTAGTTGGCATAACATAAAGTTACTTAAGACTTGAATCTTTGTCCCAAAGTTACTCTGTGTCAAGCAGGTATTTTCCTTGTTTTTTGGTCAGTACATTGAATAAAAATAATAAAAAAAAAAAAAAACATTTTCCAAGTTGTAACTAAAACAAAGATTATGAAAGTATGTTTGACAAAAAAATTAAAAAATACTATTTCAGTCTATTTACTTCAAAATTTAATATTTAATACCATGTATTATTTCCAATTTCTTTGTAATAATTTGTGAAATTTACTAGCAATTTCTAAGTGAAAATTGTTGCTAAGTAAATCCTTCACCAAACTGTTTTAAGTGTAAGTGACAATCTTAAAATGTCAACATTGTTACCATGTAACAAAATTATTGTAACAATAATGGGTAACACTTTATTTTAAGGTGCTTTTGTTACACGTTACATATACTTACTATGCATAATTACATGCAAGTAACCCAAACCCTAAGCCTAACCATATAGTAAGTACATGTAGTTAATTAATATTACTCAGTACTTATATGTATAATTACACTGTAACAAGGACACCTTAAAATAAAGTGTAACCCAATAATGTTTTGTTACTGTAACAAAATCATTCAAGTATTTAGCACAGATATTAATGCAAATGCAATGGTTCTCCAGTAAACTATAACATTAAATCTCTTCTTGATATTAAACTGGTTTCACTGGGCGTGATTTATTTATTCAATCTCAGTAAGGAAATAAATAGATTCACCTCATTCCTCATTCCTGGTCACCACACCCTGCTGAGCCATTGGATGATGCACGTAAATGGTTCATGCTGCATGGGAAGCGTGTGTGTGCATGCGTGCGAGTGAGTGTGTGTGTTTGGTTGAGTGTGTGTGAGTGTGCGTGCGTGTGTGTGTGTGAGTGTGTCTGTGTGTGTGTGTGTGTGTCTGTGTGTCTGTGTGTGTGTGTGTGTGTCTGTGTGTCTGTGTGTGTGTGTGTGTGTCTGTGTGTCTGTGTGTGTGTGTGTGTGTCTGTGTGTCTGTGTGTGTGTGTGTGTGTCTGTGTGTCTGTGTGTGTGTGTGTGTGTCTGTGTGTCTGTGTGTGTGTGTGTGTGTCTGTGTGTCTGTGTGTGTGTGTGTGTGTCTGTGTGTCTGTGTGTGTGTGTGTGTGTCTGTGTGTCTGTGTGTGTGTGTGTGTGTCTGTGTGTCTGTGTGTGTGTGTGTGTGTCTGTGTGTCTGTGTGTGTGTGTGTGTGTCTGTGTGTC